AAGGCGGCCGGGGACATGCATGTCCTGCACTGAGACAGGACCACACACGCTGCCTGTGGGTGTGCTGTGGATTACTCACACTACTTAACTAAGTCACTGCACATGGGTACCCAGGCTGGCGCCCTGCATAGTCACTGGCTTCAGACAGGCTCCTCCAGACAGCAGTTTGGAGCAGGAACAAGAACTGCAGTGAGGCAGCAGGAGCTTCCAGGGGGGTGTTTTAAGGAAACGTGATTTTCCTGGGGGACTCTTACCAGCAAGTGGAATTCAGTTCCCCACAGCAAGGCTGGCCCCCTCCTCGGGGTCCTGCCTGCACAGGGCTCACGGTGCCCTTTGCCTGGCCCTAGCACTCACCTTTCCACTGGCCTCTGTCTCTGCAGCCCCCTTAGGCAGCATTTCCTCCATGGAGGTCAACGTGGACATGCTAGAGCAGATGGACATGATGGACCTGTCAGACCAGGACACCATGGATGTGTTTCTGGGCTGTGGGACAGAGGAGAGCAGCGTTACTGGGTCCCTGCCAGGTACGTGCAGTCCAAGCCTTTTGCGGGCCAGGCTGGGAGCCCTTCCTGCCCCCAGTGCCTTGTTCCTCAGCCCTGGCCACCCTGTGCGCAGATCCACGCACACCCATACACAGACAGACACTTGGTGCTGGGGTCTGTGAGGTTGGAGGGACCATGCCAGTATCCACCTCCACAGCCCAGAGGTACAGACCCTTGTGTATATACACTGCAGAAGACAGGAGAGCCCAGGCACTTTCTAGAGTCTGTGGGGCGAATTCTCTTGTCCTGAAGCCCCTCTGGAGCAGCCAGTGTCTTGTCACGATTTCCCAGGTCCCCACCGCGCTGCAGAGCTCGCTGCACCGAGCGGGAAGGCTGCAGGACCCCTCCACCTCGCAAGCCAGACCCCAGGGAGCTGGGCTTGGGTGCCGCAGGGAAAGCCCGGGGTGCCAGCACCTTCCTCCCCACGCACGCGGAAGGAAGCCTCACGCAGCACGGCTCCGAGCCGTTTCATGCAAGACAGAAGGGGCTCCACTGCCAAAAACGGGGAAGGAATGTGCGGCATTGCCCAGAGCCAAGCCGGG